GAGAGAGAGAGAGAGAGAGAAGAGAAGAGATAAGGGGCTATCTTATCACTTTTAGAAAATAAAAACCTGATTGAGAGAGAAAGGTGTTATGAGGCGGTGAAGAGCAGTTCTTGAAGAAAATTGTTGTTTTAAAAGTTCTTGAAGATTCTGTGGATTGTTGTGTTCCAAACTTGCGGAATCTGTGTTATTAAGGTAAGTTTTAATCTGCTGTTGATTTTAAACTATGAAGGTTTGATAAGTTAAAAACTTTTATAATTATAGATATATATAAACTGTTCGGTTTTGGTGAATTTGGGTTTTAACGAATATGGTGTATACTGCTTTAATAAACAGTTTGAGCAAAATATTTATGATTATGAATTTTAAAGCTGTTTGGAAAGATGAAACAGTTACTGTGCTTTGAAACAGATTTTTGGAAAAGAGATTATGTTTTAAAAGATTTAAAGGAAGCTTGATTTTTGGGAATCATTGAACGAACAAGTTATTCTTGAAATTGAAGATTTTAAATAATAAAAACTGTTTTGGAAACCATTATTGGTTGAAAACTATAAAGGACATCTCATCAAGCGGTTGTGACTTCGGTTTGTCTTCGTTTAGGATTGATCTATAGATTTTGTGAATAAAACTATGGATGAGGATTCATCAAGACGGTTGTGATTTTGGTCTGTCTTTGTTTGGGATTGATCTATAGATTTTGTAAATAAAACTATGGATGAGGATTCATCAAGACGGTTCTGACTTCGATCTGTATTCGTATGAACTAGTCTATAGATTTTGATGAGGAAATAAGGGTGGCATATCAAGGAGAGGTGTACCATGGGATAAGGGTGGCATATCAAGGAGAGGTGTACCTTCGGTTATAAGGGTGGCATATCAAGGAGAGTTGTACCTTTGGATATAAGGGTAGCAATTGAGTATGGTTATTATAGCTCTTGCTATTATGTCTTTTTAGATTACAACAGATTGGAGTACTTACTTCTTTGTGATTTAAGGACTCAGAGATGTTGTTCTTATTAGAAATAATGGTATTGATATTATTGAGAAGGGGAAAACTTGGCCTATGGCTATTGATTTTGGTCATAAAACTGTTTTGGAGCAAGTATTTGGATACAAAGGAAACAGAGAGGCTCTGATTGTTCCTTAAAAGGAACCAGAGAGGCTTTAGTTGTTCCTCGAAAGGAACCAGAGGGGCTCTGGATGGTCCTCACTATAGAACCAGAGGGTTCTGGACATTGAGAAATATGTAAGTTCTTACTAAATGTACTAGTTGGACCAGAAGCTTTGTATCTATAGATAAGAGCTTCTGTGTCAAAATCATGTTTAAGAAGTTTTTAGGAAAATGATTTTATACTTAGAAAAGTTTCCTTACAAAGAAAGACGGACCAGAGGCTCTGGTTGGCCTACACAGAGAGAACCAAAAGCTCTGGTTGGTCTTGCATTTGAAACCAGAGGCTCTGGTTGGCCTATGCGGGTTGGACCAGAAGCTTTGGTCGTACAAGATATTTTCAAAAATATATTTTAATCATGAAGGAGCTATTTAAGTATCGATGAAGTTGATCTATGAAATATTTGGGAACTCTCACCAAGTAAAAGGCTCTGGTTAGCTTAACCAGAAGCTCTGGCAGAGGAACCAGAGGGGCTCTAGTCCTCTTGTTTATGGGAATATTTTTCTAAGTCTGTCTTTGGAACCAAAGGTCCGATGGACTCAAACAAAATGTGATTTTATCTTTTACTATATGGATAAATGTTTTGGTGATCTTCACCCTGCATTACATAAAAATGGAATCCTCACTAGACATTCATGTCTAACCCTCATTTTCATTTTTAAATATGTGTGCAGGTAATACCAGTTACAATGATAGTAAAAGAAAAGGGAAAATGTGAATTATTTCCCTATGTGCCTAGCTTTATGAAGATCATTTTGGATATATTTTGAAGAATAGATGTTATAAATACAAGAGCATGTACTTTGGAATTTTTGAGTTGTGTATTTTGCATTGTAGACTCTTGTATTATGGACCTTTGTGGGGAAAACATGTATTCTATGTATGAAATATGTGTTATATATGCAATGTGAGATTGGGGGTGTTACGTTAATTGCGCATGTTTCAAATGATTTTGAGATATCAGATATCATATTTTGATTGTTCAAAAGAGTTAAGATTTAAAATAAAACCCGGAGGGTCTTTGGTTATTATTCAATTCAATTTTCATTTGAGTTTAAAATTGTTGTTGTTTTAAAAGCTTTACATGATAACCCAGAGCTCTGGTTGTTGGTATTTCTTTGTACGATATTGGAAGTTGAGATTATAAGCTCTAATCTAACGAGATCTAGGAGCTGCAGAGAGTTGTATTTTAAATGTTCGTGAGAACCTGAGTGGTTATATATCCTTTGTGGTAAGATCGTTTTTATAACTTGCAGTTTATTTTATTACCGAAGTTATATTTTATTAAAGTGGTTGGTTGTTCAAATGGGATTTTATAAAAGGTTTGGTGAGCTTCACCCTGTAATTGCAAAGAAGGGGTTTTCTCATCAGACTTTATGGTTTAACCCTCATTTGTGTTTTAAAAATATGCATTGCAGTTCCGGCTGGGTCTAGGGATAAGTGAAAGGGGAAAATGTGATTATTTTTCTAATATGCATATCTGCTATATGAAGATTAGTCTGTTATTTGATGAATTTTGGAAATACATGGTGTTTATACATGTGATGTACAAGAATATTATTTTGGAATTTTTGAGTTGTAAATTATGTATTATAATTTCTTGTACTAATGGGACCAAAGTGGTGTATTTCTTAATACATGAAGTACATGTTTATATGTAAACGTGGAAAATAAGATGTTAGAGTCGACGTATGTCGAACACTCATTGGGATCCTATTTTATTTTGTACTGTCTTTTTGGGTTGTTCACCACATGGATCATAATAATAAGGCCATTTGGTTTGTATGATTCCAAGGAATTTGAATGACGAATTTTGTTAACCAAATTATATTAAGTTGTTTGATTTACAAATAATTGAATTGAATTCCGTATATTCCACAATTCAGGGATATCATCATTCCATCACATATGTGATGCAACTAAAATCAATTCTTAACTATTTTTTCAAAGAGATAAAAAAATCATAAAAGAACCCTAGCCTACTATATGTGTTTGCTCGTTGCCTTGGTTCACTGCCCCTGGCACCACCGTCATCATAGCCGCCATTACCCCACCATCCTTATCCCCACCCACACCATCGCCGCCACCACCACATCCACAACCACTGTTGTCGCCACCTCACCCCTACCATCACCGTCACCCCACAATTGTCGCCACCGCCACTTAATTTTATGACTATATTTTATTTATATTTTAAGCAAGAAAGTGTAAAAATGTAATAAGGTATTCTGGTCATTTATCATTATTTTATTTCACCGAAGCTACATTTTGCCAAAGAAAGAGATTCCATTCCAATTCCCTCCAATTAACCGTATAGTCAAATTTCATTGACTTTATTAAATTCCATCTTCCTTTGATATATTCCAATTCCAGCAAATTCAATTTTACAAACCCAATTCCCCAAAGACATATATGTATTTGGTTTTTGAGTTTCCCCCCTATAAAGTTGTACTGAAGCTTAAGATTATTGTAAGTGTGCATTTGTTTTTATTGATTTGAATAGTGGAGTTTTTTATAAATGTATGATTCGTGAAAAATCATATTTGCTACTAGACCATCATCAACATGCCACTCTTCAAATCGAAAAGTGGAATGGTGATAGCGACTTTGTAAGTAGCAATGGAAGATGAAAGCACTATTGATGGCCAACTCTTGCAATGTGATTGATAACTCTATCTTTAGAAGCTTCCATAACATCTTTTCCCTTTTGTTATTTGTTCATTTTTCTATTTAGTGCCTGTTTTTTGTCTTTTTTTTATAATCTTTTCTTCTTGCTTATATACTTTTCTAGTGCTAATTTTGGTTGAGTATAACCTACTTGACATAATTGTTTTAACAAAGTTAGGGCAAGGGACTGAAGGCGTTATAAAATGCATCCCACAAGAATGAAATCAAGAATTATTTCATTTAAGGACATACAATGTAATTTCATGTAAACTTTAGGGACCAAGAATGTAATTTACTCTAATAAAAAAAGTAAACAATACATATTATATACTTCTTTTTGTTATTAGGAAAATAACATATATACTTGACAAAATCTTTTTGTTAAAGTATATAATATTTATATACGGCAAAAAAAAAATAACTTGCACATTCTCCTCATATTTGATGAAGTTTGAACCCCTGACTTGCTAGGAGGCTAAAGACCCTTTGATTACTTAACATAATTTTTTTAGTTATGTTAGAGAAAGAGACTTAGGGGTTGTTTGTTTACCTCTTAATAGTTTCATTAAGAGGCAACCTCTGAATCATTAAGATGTGAATTTTGTTTGACAAAAAAAAAGTCTGCCTCTTAATAGTTGTAAAACTTTCTGAATGATTTTGTATCTTGGATCTCCCTTAACCATTAAGAGCTCTAATTTCATTGTACACAATTACCAAACAATTATATTTCATTTTGCAATATAACATGAGAGTTTTTTAATCATTCTGAATACTTAATCATTTTGCACCAAATCATTCAGCAATTACCAAACAGTCCCTTAAATCGTGTGTTTTTATATACCATATATACCAGGAATACAATAAACATTTTCAAGGAACCGCAGTAATAACATCAATATATCCAAGGATTGTATCCTAAAACGAATTATAACATTTGTCATCCTAATTAATAGAAAAAATTCATCACGAAATAAACAACGTCGTCATATATTAATACATTTTACCCCTGTTATTTATCGTTAAATTTGCCTTGGCAAAACATAGGGGTGATATATGTATTTAAACAAAAGTCGAGGTTGGTTTTTGTAACTTTTTTCTTCTTACTATCATTACTTGAACTATGATAAATAAACTGAGAAGTAGATGGGATGGCAGGGGATGAACACCATGCCAGGGAAGAGGCGATGGAGTTGGCTTGTAATTGCAGTCTTGGGCCTCGTTTTGCTTTCCATGCTCGTTCCTCTTGCTTTTTTGCTTGGTCTCCATGGCGGATTTCACTCTGTTACTCACACAGGTTACTTCAATTCCTTCTTCTGCCCTAGATTGGTTACAGGATTGATTAGATCTATTTCATCTTAAGGGTGTTTGTGGTTTTTGCTCATGTATGTGTTCTTGTGATGTTCTTCATTCATTTGTTCTTGATCTGGGGATGTAACTCACTCGTAAGCATTATCCAATCTGGGAAAAAAGGTTATAGTGTCGTTGCTAAATGATATAGATCGAGGGTAGGGATTAATCCAATTGGCATTGGCTCTCCAATTGGCTGTCGTATATACTCCATTTGGATCTACATGTATTCAATATTCCAGACATGGCTGCATTGTAGGCTATGATTCTAGCCCTTTGTTACTCAGATCTACACTGTTGTTATTCCTCTTTTTGCATTTGATTTTTTATTTTTTTTTATCTTCGTGGTTTGAACTTCAGAGAAATATATAAGTTTACTCAGATTCTTATTCCACTTCACTATGAAGTATGAACCGAAATATCACAATCCAGATCTGTTATATTTCAAGCGTGTACACCCTATTTGACCTCATAGTGCTTCAAGATCGTGGCCTTACTTGTAAATCTATATTAGACATTGGATATGAACTTACTGACATATTATTTGGAAATGCTGTTCACAGGGTATGCTACTGAGCAAAGGAGTTCTGCTTCATCAAGAAAGGATGCAGCTTTAGATTCACCTTTAACAAAAGTAATGCCTTCTCCTCAGTCCTCACTTTCGTTAAAGCAACGTTTTACAAAATTATCTTTAATTATCTTATGCTTATTGTTTAACTATCCACATAAAGAAAGATCCAAAACTACGATCAAACAACTCAAAACTCCCCTGTAATCATCATATGGTTATTATGATTCAGTTGGATCAGGGTGGTCTTAAGACTTCATGATTTTGAAAAAGTAAGCTCATTTATTTTCGGTCTGCTGACATCGTCTATTTGCAGGAAGGGCTATCAACACGTGTAGATGGGCTATTGAAAAATCTTGGACCAACTCTTCCAAAGGTTCATTGCATACTGCTTTGATGGTTAAGACTCAACTTTTGTACTATTAGTATTAATCTGTTGGCAATACACCAATGCCTGTCTTCTTGTGGATATTCAATGGTAGAAGTTTCATTAAAATCTATTTATCTAAAAAGAGTTACCAAATGCAAACAGCAACCATCTTACATCTATGGCTCTTGGTGGCGCCAGACAACACCCTAGGCATAGGGGAGATCAGAGAAACAGGTGATGCCTAGCCGACGTGGAACCTATACAAGAGTGAACAACAACATTCAAAGTTGACTACTAAAAGATTATGTTAAATAAAATGAGCAAATTAGATATGTTAAGTTTTTTGCTTAAGGGTTTGGATGTATTGCTAAGCATGGTTATTTAAGATGTCATGACTTGAGAGTCGGTCTTGAGCTTGTTAACTCTGGAATATTATATCTCATTCTATCATATAACTGACAAAACATTTAATATGATAACTATTTGTAGGAAAGAGACAAACAATTGAGGCAAATCTAGCTCTGTCTTTAGCATGGTTGTTTTAGCATCCTTGTTTAGATGCTTGTTGTCATGTCTAAGGAAAGACCAAATAGAATTCTTATGTAACTAGGACTATTTAGCTACTATCATTAGTTAGCATTTGCCAAGTTTGCTTTAGCCTTGTCTTGTTTGCTTGTTCCCTAAGTTTAACTTAAACTATTTAAATAGTTATATTTTTTGTTTACTTCTAATGTTGTTAATAGAAGGTTACTTTTTGGCATAGATGGGTATACTTGTGCCACACTTGCCCCCTGCCTGTTGCATGTCAGTGTCTGCATTTTTCATGTCTTATTCCTCATGTGCTTATTTTGTGGATCTGCTTGCTATAGGTATTGTACAGTGTAGGGGTTTCAGCATCCTTTGGCTTTAATATGGTTGGTAAATCATCTTTGGCTACTTATGTACTGTCCTTCTCAGGAATGGGTTTTTAAACTAATTGATAATGCATTAGCTTAAAACCCTATAATGCCCAACTTCCGTTAATTAATCAAGTTTTGACCTCATGCTTTTAGATTTCTTTGTGATTGATTTGTAAGCTTAATAAACACTTTTTTCCAGATGCTGTATGTTTTAGTTCAGAATAGGAACCTGGAGATAATTAAGCTGTTTATCTCACCATCATGCATGCTCTTTCTCTCAGGATTTTAGAAGGAACTCTGTCAAGGAAGCAGAGAACAGAACCACTGGTAGATATTTGTTCTTATAGTGTGTTATCCTAAGTCATTTTACCCTTTAAATAAATTTGTTTCTTCAAGGCTTTTCAGCCACCATGGACAAAGATGTGTACTGCAGTTAATGCCTGTTATGAGCTTCCTTTTCATCTTTGAAATAACTGCAGGTTTTGCTGTGCCTACACAAGAAGTAAAGCCACCTCCAAAAAGACATGTATGCATCTTTTCTTAATGATTTTAAGGGTTATCATAGTGCTATTTGAATTTATACTAATTACAAATGTTTTAATTAATTTTAATATCTAGGATGTTGGAGTCAGTTCATCAGCTGAAGTTACCAAAACTATTGAAAGCATTGGTGAGGGTCAAAAAATGTGTGAATTAAAATTTGGGAGCTATTGCTTATGGCGTCAAGAACATAGGGAAAAAATGAAAGATTTTATAGTTAAGAAAATGAAGGACCAGCTATATGTAGCTCGAGCTTACTATCCCAGTATTGCAAAGCTTCCAGCCCTTGACCAATTCTCACATGAAATGAAGCAAAATATTCAAGAGTTTGAGCGAATCCTCAGTGAAAGTTCCTCTGATACAGATCTTCCACCCGAGTAAGTTTAATTTGAAGTATATAATCATTATATATGTGTATATATAATTTTCTACCCCGAGTAAGTTTTTTTAAGTATATGATCATTATATATATATATATATATATGTATATATATAATTTTCTATCCGTGTAAGTTTCACATCAGTTTATGGCTTAAGAGTATATTTAATGTTTCCTTTTACCGTACTTTTCCGCTTGTTACTGATTTGCTCCATTTTGTGTAGAACGATATAGCTATACCCCCATGTATACATAGCAGATACATAAATGATTTATCTTTTCCAACATATTGTCTTGTCTGATTAAGTTATGGGCTTTGTGTTAAAGGCATGCCGTCTTTCTTGTGAATCCATGAACAAAAAAGCACATGAAACTATGGACATGATTGTCTTGAAAACCGTGGTAGAGTAACTAAAAAATTATCTGTAACATTTGGTGGCCATCTCACTATATTTTGAATGGTTGTAGATAGTTCTGAAAATTGATTTATCAATTGTATCACTTTTAGTGCATTAACCGACTCAATGTGTTGCACATAAGAATGAGATTGCAAGAGTGATGAGGTGAAAATCTGTTCTGCCAACAAGGAAAGTCAGAGAATCAAGCACATACCATCAAGAGTGCCAAACTTGGTTAGGAATATTCTTATAGAACGAGTTGCCCATGATTGTTGCACCTTGGTACTACCGAGGCTATATATGTAATAACGAGAAAGGAATGAAAAACAGAGAAATATTATCCTAAAACACCCTTTTTTCATTCACCATTTGGTCTTCTTCCCCCTCTGAACTCCATCTCCCTTTAAATTCTATTTCTGCTACTGTCCATGCATCAGTTGGTGCTTTCATTGATGACCTCTTGGCTGAAGAGGTTAAGGCCATATTTGTTATTGTTCAACAACATTTTAAAACCCTTCACTATAATGCTTCAGCTTATTGTTCCATCCAACAATCCACACAAAACACCGATACTATATTAGCCGGCATTAGAGGTGATCATTTTCTGGCCCGGGCCAGGCCTAATATATTTTTCTTGTCCAACGGGCCTAATTTAGCAAACCAAGCCCGTTTTTGTGGGCTTGAGAACTTGCCCATACCCGTTCTGAAAAACTGGTTGGGTTTGCCAGCGGGCCTAAAATATATGCATTCATAAAAACTTATATAAAATGGTAAGTTATGTAAAATCATTCAAAATACATAATGTTCTGTCCAACTAAAAAAGAGGTAAAATATACCAATGTACACATCATATGAAAAAAGTTGTTTCACAAAAGTATCGAATATGGACTTTTTCTCTCCAAGGGTTGTCAACCTTCAAAGTTCGTATTCTTCGACAACAAAATATTTAAGTTCAACCACCTAATATTTCAAGATCGAGATTGGAGACGTACCCCACTTCTGCTTTTTCCGGTTCCATCATCATCCCCACCTAGTGTTCAACTCTTATCGTCCACTAATGCCACAGCCTTGCTCGCATAAACCAGAAGTTCCTTTATTCACTGGGCTAACACCTTACACTGGATTTTCTAGGTTGGATTTTTTTACCATCACCAAACTCCACATAGCCTCCTTCTACAAGAGTTGTTTGGCTTTCTAGTTGTTTCATTGGATGTTAAACGCTATTGCTTTCCACATGGAACCATTTTGTTTAGGTCTTAGAAATCATTTTGGTCATTCTGCTATCATAATTACAAGGTTTACTTTTTCAAGCTTAGTCAAACCTCAATTCTCCAACTTACATCTCCGATTTTGAAACCATCTTGACCAAGACCCTTGTCCTGAGCAACTCCTCCTTAATTGCTTCTGATCAGGCCTCAAAAAGGAAATAAAAGAGACGTTTTCATCCTTTGGCAATCTACTCTTCTGGATGCTATTGCTATCATTCATTTGGTCAAAGAAAAATTTGCCACACCTAACGCCATACCCTTGACCCCTGGTTTATGATACCCTCCCAAGTCCCACCATCCTATTCAATGACATTAAGTGCTTGTCCCCAGGTAAAGTAGCTGAAAGAAGGGCCAAAGGCCTCTCCTTCAATTGCAATGAGCACTTTGTTCCCGGACATCATTGCAAACCCCCACAATTTCACTGCCTCACCATCAACCAAGTCTAATGAATATCTATCCGAAATCATCCTTAACACAACTACGCTCTCACTGCTATTGCCTACTGAATCACTGCCCATAGTTTCCCTCCATGCCTTGACATAGCAGTTTGTTCATTTGACACTCAAGAATGCAGGAACAATCCATGGGAAACCTATGGTTGTCTTCATTGATGGAGGCTTCACTCAATACCTCAAGTGGCACATGGTTTTTGTCTTGGTCTAACCTTTCCCTCATTTACATTTGACAATGGCGATGGTGACCCTCCTGGTTGTGAGGCCCACCACATGGACACTAACATCTAAATCGGAACTAGTTTCTTTTATTTATTATTGACCTGCTTGGCTGCTTCCACTTCCTTTTTACGATGCAGACATCGTACTGTGATCTACTTATATAAATAATGGTTAATAATAAATAATGGTTAGTCATGGTTTCTGCTTCCTTTTTATTATTGACCACAGTAGTCGAATCCCATATATAAGTAATGGTTAGTCATTTTGGTCCTATAGTTATTTATCATTATGCCTTATGCACGGGATTTGACAACTGTGTCAAAGAATTCACCTGAAGGCCCTTAAGAATCCATAATTTCAACAATCATTGGCTCACAATTAAATAGGCATGCGGACACCAATATCATTTCGTCGTTCTGCTCCCTTATGTAGACTCAATGCTATTTACTCGTTCTGCCCCCTTTCTCTTCATCACATGTCTACCAGCCCCACCTTCTTTATTGACCAACTACACACCTCCATCATGAACTTTAATAACCATTGTCTTCCGTTGCAGATGTTTTATCCATCCCAAATGGTCTATCACCCAACCAAGACCAGAATCACGTAATTCTTTGTAAACCAAACACAAAATCTATTAATGTCCGCCTTACAAGTATCCCAATTCCAAAAAACAAAATTTTCTGTAAGGCTTTATGTGGAAACCAGAGACGTAAAAGGTGTTCTTTGTCCTCAAGCATACTCTATGGCAAACCCTTGTTCTAGCGTTACCTGATTTCACTTAACCATTCGAGCTCCAAATCTTGCTATGACTGTTCTGCTGCCGATGCCCTATCCAGACAATCAAATCATGACTTCTACCACCTCCATGCCATCTTTAAACCAATTGTAGCCCTTCTTGTGCCTTATGCGTCTTCTCTAAAACCACCAGCCATCAGCAGACCTTGTAAAATCTGCCACTACCAATCTTTGAGATCACACACTACACCGTATCTAATGCCCATCTTTGAAATATGTGAGTTCTTTGTCGTTGAAATATGTGAGTCCTTTATCTTTGAAATTAGAACCCATTTACGCACCAGTAGCGGCAAATCCACAGGCCTTAGGTGGACTTCGCCCCCAAGCATGCCTATTTCTCAGCCTTACCAACCTCTTACACTGCAATCTAAGTCACCACCACTTCATCCAAGACATTGTCAGCCTCCATGGAATGCCCACCACAATTATTTCTTACCATGACTCTATCTCTATGAGTTTGTTTTATCAAGCACTCTTAACCATTGCTTCTTTCAGCCGAAATTTTGGACACAAACCATCATCCAGACTGGCCACCCAAATTCAACCACTTGTTCGATCTCAGGATCAATCATCACATGGGAACATCAATAGGATTTTCAACATGATTTCTTCAACTTCCACTTTGAAGACAAGGAAATTTCTGAAAATGAGGGCAATGTTACTTGTGAGAATAATATTTCAAGGAATGATGAGGTGGAATCTGTTGTGCCAAGAAGGAAAAGTCACAGAATTAAGTGAGTACAAGCAAGTTGCCAACTTAGTCAGGGATATACTTAAAGGATTGAGGTGTCAATGATTATGACCACCTCTGGTACCATAGCGGCCATTGTGTAATGATGAGATAGGAACGAAAAAAAACAGAGAAATGTTTTCGTAAGATTCCGTTCTTCATTCGCTTCCTTCTCCCTCCAAACCCACTCCCTCTAATTCTCTAAACACTCTCTCTGCTACTCCTCACACATCACAATGCTATCGCTACTTTGATCAGTTCCATTGGAAAAACCTGCTGTGTTCTTTCATCTCTGGCAGTGGAAATCATAAAATGACAATAGTAATGAAATCTGAAAAGTTCATGCTGGGCGCCGCGGGAGAGTGAAACTACAAGGATGATGCTGAACCATAGTGGGTCTACTAACGAGAGAGAGAGAGAGAGAGAGAGAGTTTCGGGTACTGGCTGGTGTCTTGGGACGTTTTCATTGCAATATTGTTGTACTTCTTTGTGTGTGGGAGAGAGAGAGAGAGAGAGAGGCAGGGCATCAAAACATAAATAATACAACTTGAATGAAAAAACGGATATAAAATTAGTCCTGAAAAAATTCTAAAGGAACATAAGCGAAGAAACATAATGATTATAGCAAATATATAACATTTGTAGGGGCTGGATGATTCAAAACAGCAGTAAAAACTTATTTCATGAGAAGACTTGTGAATAGCATTGTTTAACTCGACCATATCATATGAGTCCTTTACACTGTGATCTGTGAATCATTATTTGGCCAATATTTTTCTCTGTAACCTCAGTCTGGAAGAGTGCTTTTTCGCCATTTAATTGTATCTTCAACTCAGAAGTGTTTATTGTTGTCGAGCGACTTCCCTTCTGAACTTGTCCACAATCCTCATAGCCTAGACATTTTACCCTTGCGCCGTGATGACGCTTCCCTTTTTCTTTGAGTAGCTTCTAGAGGTATTAGATTTAAATATTGTTGAGGTTATATTGATACGACGGTTTCCTTTTTCAATTATTCTTGTCAATTTATATAAATAAAGTGCTAGACTGGACTTTCACATACTAAGATCTGATTTATAGGTGATGATTGATCATGGTGTGCCTACAAGCAGTTAAATTGCTACTTTAAGTTACTGTATTTAGGTATGAAATGCAAGTATTTCAATTAGGGCATCCCTAAAGGTTAGAGGCCACTGGACTCTGTTTTGGCAAACAATTATATTTAGGTATTCCCTTGGTAAGTCAGGACCCTAAATCATGCTAATTCCTTTGATTCATGTTTTCCTTCACATTTGCTGTAGACAATCATAGTATTTCCCATAAATGTGCAAGAGATGCTTCAATGTCTAGGATGGTCCTACTCTATGCTACCATGCTATGCGGGAGTACTGGACCCACAAAGAAAAATGACACTTGGCCCTTGGAGTCTGTCTGGAAAGCACTCTGTTGTCTACAAATGGGTGCTCTCTCATTATATGGAGGCTTGACTGCCGTGAAGGACTATTTCTGGCTTATGATATTGATTAGTTAGAAACACTCTTTCGCCGAATATTACTTTTATTCATATATGTGTTGCCCTTGATGGATCCATAACTAGCTTTATATGAGTTGGAAATCAATAATGCATTTCGACAACTTTCTATAGGAGAAGCTATATGTGGCTTGCCATGAGATTTTGTGGCTTAGGAGTCCTGTAAAGTTTTTTTTAATGATTCATAATTCGGTATAGCCTCAAGCTATCTGAGTTTGGATTGGGTGCTTTTATGATGTACATTGTGACGATCAAATGTTAAGTTTCTATTAGAATTGAGAGGTCAGATGGTTATAGATGAAATTGGGGGATTACAAAAGTGTTCTCAGCATTCACGAGGTCAAGCTTTCTCCCAGGAGCTTTCACGCACAACAAACACACAAAATTCATTGATCCCCCTCACATTCCCAGCCACCCCCTATTTATTTTTAGATGCTATTAACTGACTCAGTACCCTGCTTTATCCACTTGTACCACAGCAGTAACCACTTGTACAATCCTAGTATTGCCTACCATATTTGACTTGGTTGACCCTCTAGTGATTACCCCCAACCGCAGCCACCTATATTGCCCGTTCACTACTACTTATCCTACGCAATCACATCATTTTAGTGGTTGTAGAGTTGAAAAGACGCAATTGATCCCAGACAATTTCAATACTTCTTGGGGATAAAGGTATCAATCCTGTAAAGAAACTTGTTTCACCACAACTAATATATTTCAGATAGTGTTTGAATGCTGGCTGCTTGGCTGCAAGTCGATTTACTTATGTTTGATCATTTTGAAAAACTGCCGAACGACGGAAAGCCCTTGAAATGAAGCAAAAACTCATCTAAATGTCAGTCACCAGCTTATCGCATGCTAAGTGTAGTCGATCAAATTATGTCTGCCTTCACCTGTTATGAAAATGTTTTTCCGAATATCTTGAGCTGTTGTTTCTTTAACCATGTGAGGTATCCTATCTCCAGACATCAATTTTGGAGGGTGTGGAGACCTTTATAACTGAATGATGCGATATATGTGCATGCTTCTAGATTAAGCAGTATGCTGTATTACCTGGAGGTTCGTGACTTGTTACTATGTCTTCAATTCATTGGTGGAAACCTTCTCTTTTGGAACAGCAAGAAAAAACTGATAGTGTATTACCTAGATAGTCTGTCAATCTGGGCCAGAATCTGAATACCAAAAGATGTTACTTGCGAAATACTTGAACTACATATTAAGTGAGTTGGGCACTCTTCCTGACAAACTAATGAAACTATATTCTGATAACTTGGCAATTTATATAGACATGAATGGAGTCCTCCGGAGACAATCAAGCATATAGAGATTGATTCTCGTCTTCTACAAATTCATAGTGTGTCCGACAATGGATCATCAATCAATTTAACCTGCTTGTATTTGGACTCTGCCTCTAGAAAAAACCCATGCAATAATTAAGCTGATTTTAAATGAGGGCACTCAGAGAGTAAGTTGATGTGCTTAAACATTGATTAGGTTATGAAGGTGAAGAGTGGTAACTATCTGAATGAAGTTTGCATGCCACTTTCAGCTTGCTTAACAGCAGATGATTTTACCATCTGGGTATTTGAGAAGATACTACCTTACCAAAGGGTCATTGGCCCAATGATACCCGGTTTAGCGGTAGAGCCGGGCCTCATAGGAGGTCAAGGGTTCAAACCTCACCAAAGATGAGGAGTGTGTGAGTTATTTGCCGTATATAAATATTATATACTTCAAAAAAAAGATACTACCATTGTCTAGTTAATGAGGTCCAATTCGATATGGCCATTTAACATTATTAGTTTGGTTTCTCATTTGTTTGGTGCGAGAGATGTTCTTTTTGGGCACAGGTTTTGGCTGTAAGATGAAAATAGATATAAAAGGAAATAATATTTTTAAGGCCAAACAATGTCTTAAAATAGAAGTCCATTGAATGGGTAATGGGTTATTTTATAGGAAAAGGGCAAGTGAGTAGTGTAATATATATAGGGGTGGGTTATTTTACAACCCATGTATTTTGTGCAACCAATACTTGATCTTAGAAGACGTGAAAATGTACCACAAATAACGGGAAAATGGTATAAACTAGTTGAACCCGAGTCTTTCCTTCTATTACATACATACATACATACATATATATATATATATATATATATATCAGTCATGCACAGAAATTTGTGAACAGATGTACATAACCAGGGTGTATTGTATGTGTATGTTTCCAATTTCATAGACACTAAAAATAAAATTGTGGATGTTGTCAGGGTTGAGAAGAAGCTGCAGAAGATGGAAACTACAATTACTAAAGCAAAGTCAGCTACTGTGGATTGTAACAATGTTGATAAAAAATTAAGACAACTAGTTGATTTGACGGAAGATGAAGCCAACTTTCATATGAGGCAGAGTGCTTTTCTTTACCAACTTGCAGTCCAAACAACACCAAAGAGTCTTCATTGCCTTTCAATGCGACTAACGGTGGAGTATTTCAAAACCTCTCCCGTTGATGCAGATCAGTCAGAGAGTTTGTTGAACCCGGAGCTACTTCACTATGTTATATTTTCCAAAAATGTGCTTGCGTCATCTGTAGTAATTAATTCGACTGTTATGCATGCAAGAGTATGTTCTCGTATTCAATTTTTTAGGGATAATTACAAAAAATAACCAACTTGAGATGGGGCCTACCGCAACTGACCTCTTCTTTGAAGCTTGTACAAAATAACCACCTTGCGAAATCACATTATTGGCTGAAAATACACGTTTTTTTGCAAATTTCACAACAAAACCCTTTTTGTGAAATTCAGAAAAAAAAACTTCTATTTTATGAAATTTGCAAAATCAAGTGGATCTGCTAAATGCCTTTGCAAAATAGGTGGTCATTTTGTACAAGTTTCGAAAACAGGGTCATTTTGTGGTAATCTTTGTAATTATCCCTTTTTTATCTACTTATCAGCTCTTTCCATATCAGGGACTCACCGGTATTATTTTCAGGCCAGCAGGAATCAGGTGTTTCATGTGTTGACAGATAAACAGAGTTTCTTTTCCATGAAGATGTGGTTCTTTACTAATACTTACAAGGATGCTACAGTTCAAGTGTTGAACATCGAAGATCTTGATTTAGAAGGTCATGATAGAACTACGTTTTCTAGTTTGTCAGTGCCTCAAGAATTACGTGTCTCTTTCCTTAATGGTGATAAATTATCCTCTACCGAAAGTAGAACAGAATACATCTCTGTGTTTTCTCATTTGCACTATGCCCTTCCAAAGATATTCTCAACTTTGAAGAAAATTGTTGTTCTTGATGATGATATTGTTGTCCAGCGTGATTTGTCTGACTTGTGGAGCCTTGACATGGATGGGAAAGTAATTGGTGCATTGCAGTTCTGCACGGTGAAATTGGGTGCACTTAGAAGTTATTTGGGGAAGGAAAATTATGATGCTAACTCCTGTACATGGATGTCGGGGTTAACCATAATTGATTTGGTTCGATGGAAGGAACAAGATGTCACCAGAACGTATGAAAGTTTGGTGCTGCAGGTTAGTTATCTTCTGATTTAGTTGTTTTTTTGGTCTCGCAATTATTGTGGTTAAGCTTGTCCATAATTTTCCATAATCCTAGCAGACTAGAACCTGACTTTACTTGTTTGGGAGAGCTGATTTGTGTCTTTTTTGTTAGGTCTCTAAATCTTGTTCTATATCAATGTGTGTGCATCGATTAGGCATCTTTGTTTTATGTTTAAATGGGAGGTGATTTCCTTTTTCAAGCCATCTTGGCTTCCCGAAATGTACAGTAAATTTGCTTTATCCATAAATCCAAGCGGGGGGTCTTTTTGGAAAAAAGCTTTTCGATCTCTTGGGATAGAGGTAAGGTCTGTAATATATATCTTACCCCCCACCCAACACCCGGCCTCTTGGTGGGATATACTCCAGCCCTCTTCCAAAATAAGTGTCCATATTTTTATTTTTATTTTTATTTTTATTTTTATTTGTTAGTCCAAAATATAAGTGTGCATTTTCAAAAGTAAGTGCATGCTTTCCAATTCTACCCTTAATTATGAGATGTAGAAGTTCGTTACCCCCTCTATTATCAAGGGTAAAATTGTCATTTGGTTGATTAAGTATCTACATTTCTATTTTAGTTTGTCCCAAAATAAGTGCCCATTTTCAAAAGTAAGTTCTTACTTTCCAATTCTACCCTTAATTATGAGATGTAGAAATTCATTACTCCCTCTATTATCAAGGGTAAAATTGTCATTTGGTTAACCAAGTGTCTATAATTTTTATTTCCAAAGTTAGTGGTCATTTTCTAAAGTAAGTGCCTACTTTCTGATTCTCTGCCCTTAATTATGAGATGCAAAAATTCATTACCATCTATTATCAAGAGTAAAATTGTCACTTGGTTACTTAAGTGTCCATATTTTTATTTTTATTTTTATTTGTTTGTCCCAAAATAAGTGTACATTTTCAACCGTTAATTATGAGTTGTAGAAATTCATTACTCTATATTATCAAGTCTTTACATTGTCTAGGGTACAATTGTCATTTAATTAATTAAAAAGTGTAGTAATTACACATTTCTAATATTGTGTGCCTTTTTTGTGGTCGACCCTTATCTTGGGACAGAGGGAGTATTAGGTTTGCTTGGTTTGGTTTATTCATAAACCAGTTTTAACTTTTAATGGAGCAGACTTTTTTCTATTATCTTTTTTCGTATGACTATGCTGACCGTCTTTTCCTATGTGAACAGAGATTGAGCAAGGAAGGGAAAGAGACCGAAGCAGCTAGACTACGAGCAACCTTGCTTACCTTTCAAGGACTACTCGTTGCTCTTGATGATGGCTGGGTGGTATCTGGCCTTGGTCATAACTACGGTATTAGTAACGAAGTTATTAAAAAAGCAGCCGTATTACACTTCAATGGCAACATGAAACCTTGGCTCGAACTCGGCATCCCAAGCTACAAAGCTCACTGGAGAAAATTTCTGAACCGCGAACATCGGTTCTTGAGTGATTGCAACGTGAACCCATAATCATGATATCAAAATTCCCGTTCCTAATTTAATTCAAAGGGTTCTCATTTAAATGATAGAAAAACGAAACCATATCTGGACCTGATTTGCAGAGAATGAAGATCTCTGCAAACGGCAAGTGATGATCTCGGTATATTTCTAGTCATTTGGTAGATAAAGAAAGGGGGCTAGAATTTGTCCATGATCAAAGAGAAGATTACCAATCTGGTGGGATGCAGTTAGGATTGAAAAGCTTTTCTGATGGGAATCTGAGGAACAGTTTTCTAGTTTTCGTTTGGTCGTAAAGCAGGTACGCATACGGTTCCCTTTTTTCGTTATGATTGTTATCATATATTTATTCGGGTAGAGTTACGGTTGGTGTGAATTCATGGAATTAGGAGATCGGATAGAAGCGTGAATAATTCGACTACTTTAGAAGAGCAATTTTATTGTACCTTTTAGCTTCTGGCCTTAAAAATGGCTTTTAGTTTTTTAGGTATGTATGAAGTTGTTTTGTTGTAAAACATCAAGGGTTGGAAATTGTAACTACCTGCCCTCCATTGGGATTGTTCCTGTCCGGTCCGGTCCTGTCTGGTTTTAATGACTTTTTTATCCTTGCTTAAGTGTTGTATGTCTGTTAAGGCGATGTTTTGGATCAATTTTGTAATATGCGGGTTATTAAGTGACTGAATGGTAAGCTCGGTTGAATCACCAATTTTGGTTACATCGTCCGGGTTATATTACCGGCTTACCCTCACTTTTTGTTCATCAGTTTTTTTCTCGTGCGGGAAATGCGAAAATGGTTGCGACATAAAAAATGTTTTTTTTCTTGTAACTGTTATAATAATCTAGCGTCGTTATATGTTTATGGTTAATTATCGAGAAATGAGCACTCGCCATCAATGGGTCTCTTAAATTTGCTAGATGCAAGATGTGCAGAAGGATTGGTTTGGGGCATCTCCAACAGCTATGCTATTTTAGAAATTTTGGATATTCGACAAAATTTTGCTCCAAAAGCTATGTTGAACTCTCCTCTAAAATAGAAAAAAAAAATATAGGGGAGAGAATGGGGAAATCTTCAAATTTATAAGATGAAAAAGAAAATATTGAGTATCTGTTAAAGATGCTCTTAGAATTGGGTTTGGGATCTATGTCGGTCTAGGACCAATTAGGCTTGTTTGGCCTATATCATCCCGTATGTTCGAATACTTGGGTTTATTCTAATTGGTGGCCGGTAAGAACGTGCAAGGACTAAACATTGTTTAGGCACGAGAAAGTTAAAGCAAAGACTTCCAGGCTCGAGCTCAAATACCTTTTGAATTATCGAATTCGAGCAATGTTTGTGTATGGATTTGAACTCATGATTGATTAACTCGTTTATAGGCTCGAGGTTGATAATTTTTATATTTTTATTGTATGATTTATGAACATATTTTTATATTTGTTGATAATGTTTGCTTGAAAGCCTTAATCGAGTTTTTGAACGAGAAGAGTCGAACATTGGTGTTATGAAGCTCGGTTCATTAGATTAAACGAGTTCTATTTTGTATAAAGTGTTAGAAAACCAATAATGACTCAAGAAGAATACGGTATTAGAAACTTGTTGTAAGATTTATGTCCAAATGTCTAATTGAAACAAGGAATCGACTTCAAAAAGGGGGATATACCCCCCTCCTCCCTCCCTCCTCTGGAGGACCCCACCGTACCAGTTACAAAGACATCATGGGGTGGGGGTGGGGGGCGGTTAAGTTGTGCAGATCACATACAACAAAGGGTGGCACCCGGACATATGGATGACATTACAACTTTGTTGTTGTAACGAATCACGAGAACATAATTGACTTTAAAGAAACATTAGGTATTTATTACCGGTCAAAATTGAACGATAACGGAATTTCCATGTATACCGGCACCATAATATCATATTGGAGGCAGCAAGATATATCTTGATCTTAATGTTCGTTTTATTTTTTTTGTTCAATCGATGTTATAATAAGATATTTATTCTCTATTTGATTATGTTTATCTATGGTTAGTTACATGAATTCAAGCATGAAGCTCTAATAAGTTGTACATACGTATAATTTTACTTGTAATATTGAATTTTAAGTAATATGCATCAATAAACAGTACTTCATACATAAAAAATGGTTTTTAAGAGTTTTTATCAAATGTTTTATAATATAACTAGAAGAGTAATCAAGCAATGCAGCGAGACACATCTCGATTTTAATATTCTATTTTATTATTTGTCTCTGTCGATGTTATARTACGATTTTATGTGTTTTTAAGAAAGCAATAATGATTTTATTTTTTAATAAAATATAAATTTGAAGTTATCATAAAAAATTTTAAAAAAAAATGGGGGTTGATATCCCCACCCCCCTACATCACTTTTCACCCCCTCCTCCTCACACCAATCCTCACTTTCACCCTCACATACTCACCCTCCTACACAATCACACCCCCCCCCCCCCCCCCCCCCCCCCCCCCCCCACCCCCTCACTTGCACCCATAGGAGGGGGTGGGGTTAGAAAAACCCAATAAAATAATCAATGTTAATATCAAATCAACTATTTAAAAATTCTATTTTTTATGTAATTTATTTTTTTATTATAATTTAATTTAAGTTTAATAACAAAATAATTTATTTTTGGTTTAATAAAATAATATTTTATAAAGATAATAATTAAATATTATGTTAGAACTCAATAATTATCTTATTTATATTTTATATTTTTTATATTTTAAATGAGATGTTTATCCTGTATTTGATTAAGTTTATCTGCCAATAGTTACACGAATTCAAATATGGAGCTTTAATAAGTCGTACTTACGCACAATCTACTTGCAATATTGAGTTTTTAAGTAATATGCATTAATAAACAGTACTTTACGCATAAAAAGTGGTTTTTAAGAGTTTTTGTCAATTTTTTTACAAATATATAGTATAGATTATGTGTATTAGAAAACAATAATGATTTTATTTTTAAATAAAATATAAATTTAAAGATATCATAAAAAATTTAAAAATATATATATCAATGTTAATATCAAAT